AACAAATCGATTGACTTTTTCTTGTTCGAATTCTCGATTTTTCGGTAACTGGTGAATGGGTGGTACTTTGTAACTGGACCAACGGTAGAAAGGGGTGATTAAGAAATAATGCAAGATTTTTTACGAAAAAAAATGTTGAAAAAGTTGATTAAAAACATTTGATCTAGAATATTCTGTCTTTATTAAGGTAAGTTAGACAGGTTTTTGTTAGTTTGTTAAACATTTAACATTTATATGATGCATCTTCATAGAGTATGTACGACTACGAACGTTGCATGTTAGTGTATGCACGGAAAACTAACACAGAACGCGGCACTGATGTTTGTTAAGCGAATGAGTTTGGACTCAAAATAGGTACCCTAAAGTGATGGATAGTCCTGGAAACATAGGAATGAATGTTTGTGGATATTGAAAAGCAATTTTTCTGATTGTTTCATGTTTGTTTTCCGAAGGTTTGTTTAAGCTACGAACGAGATTGATGTTTTAATTGGAAAGGGAGATTTTTTAAAAGCTTTCATTGGAACGTTACAATAATAACTTCAGTAAGCGAAACGAAATAGCTCGTAATTTATTACAGGTTACTTTTTGTTTGTTAATTATCAACAACAACGGAAGACATGGATTGATTCTGGAATGTCATACATTACTACACAATTAGACATCTTTTATTTTAAGGAGGATCAACATCAGCTAGACAATGGAAGTAGCAAATAACAATTGAAACGGGTATTTCATTTATAAAATGTTTTAAGTATAAAACACAAGGGCACATTATCTACGAGGCACTAATGACGCCTTCGCTGAATGGGCACTAACTGACATAACATTCGAGTTAACGATAAAACGAAGTTAGGATAAGTAGTTTTCCATGTAGCGAGAACGAAACGTCTCGTCTGCGGCTCAACACAAACAACGAAACATTCACAACGTTCCCATTCTTTTAGCAATATCGCGTTTTTTCATTCCAATTGCACCATTCAAACATGTCGGTGAATTCGGACAGGGCCACAATCAATTACCTTCCGACGAATTTACGACATCTCGTTCATCGAACACTCGTTTTATTGCCCGACAGCATTTTAATAAAAATGTCACCGTTCAGTCGCGGCGGCACCCGACGTGGAACCTCATCAAAATCGCATCAAAACATCTCCGAACACCCACTCGGTTCGTTCGAACATTTTTAACACCCATTTGAATCTAAATTTTACTTAAGTTCGCGACTCAGTCCTTTAGACACTTCATATCCCCCGGAGACGAAGCAATAAAATAATAACGACTCTGTTGCATAGTTCAAGTCTACGATCTTCTAAGATATATGTACTGCACGTAGGAGTTTCTCGACGCCAGTTAGCGACGAATTAAGATGCTTTTTGTCACTCGACAATATCTCGGCATTCATATCGCGAGCATCACCGCGTAATGTGGAATGTCGGGACGCGACTAATTCACGCGAGAAAATATCTTTCAAGACATTTGAATTTTTGCGAGAATTTACACTTATAACGCGTGTGTATTCGGAATTTTGCGAGGATCTGTTCACGAGATGCCTTCAATGCCGGCCCTCACGTTCCGCTTTGAGGTATTTCTCTTTGCGAAGATTAACAAATTGTTCGCTTCATGAATTCCCCGCTCGCCTCGAGTATCGACGTTTACAGAGTTGCAAGCGTAATAAATGCTCGAGATTTACATAAACCGCTGCGTCCTTTGACAGTCGAATACTGATGAGCAGACAAGTTACGCTTGAGAATAACTACCGTGATGGAATAAAACCATAATTTCCTTTAGAAAGTTGTAATCTGCGTTGCCCTGTGCACTGGAGCTAGGTAACTGTGATTCAGATAGCATTCACTGAGCCATTCTCATTTATTTAACAAGATAAAACTTTCTGTACTTACACCTACATTAAATAAACCTAGTTTGCGAGTTTAATGTATGTTTCCTAAACAAAGGTTCAACAAAAACGTTGTTGAGAAAGCACGAATGCGCAGGAAAGTTGTACAAAATCCTGCAATTGCATTAGGTACTAGAGAATGCATTTTCTGATACAAAGAGCAAAGTATTAACGTGAAGCTCTCAGACAATGGCAAACACGAAGCGGAACGCAACGCAGCCGCCACGATAAATGTATCGAGCACCACAAATACCATTCGCCAACCGCCCGCAGACTTATTGTTTGAGATGGCACTGGTGAAAAATTGCTTCCCCCCTTCCACCATCACTCCAAATATTTCAACGTCTCAATAACTTCTTCATTCAGAATTGCAATCGACATACCTTATACAGTAAGAAACCAGCCTTTTAAAATTCAATTAAATAATTTAACTGCTATCAGATCCATAGTATTGGATATCTTGTTGCGGCTAATTGGATTGCGGCGAAGTTTCACATTTTTCCTCGGTCTTTCATCGTTCTCCACCGTTTCGTTTTGTATTTAATTTTTATCTTTACTACATTCGAGTGTTGAGTGCCGACGACGGCAAAATATAATAGGAAAAGTTTCATTTGGCTAATTAAAAATAAGCCACCGCTGGGTGCAATCCAGATTAATCGTCGTTATTCAACCTAACGTCTGCAATGTCTGCCGTTTTATTATAAAAGCTTGTTCGCAAACGTTTTACAGAGTACATAGATACTAAAACAATAGGAAACGATGTTGACAATGTAGCGCGAATACCTTCGTAACTGTTTATTAAGAGAAAATACAAATGAAAGGCGAATCCACTCCGTTCTCTCTATTTTTATTTTACTTTGGAGCAAATATGGAAAACGTTTGTTGATATTTGACGGCTACATTGTGAAGGAGAGAGCCGTTGTTTGTTTTTGTCGACTTAAGTAGTTGTATCGGGGGCTGTAATGTAAGTAATATTTATCTGATACGGTTGTTTTACGTTTCCTGAGCGCGATAAAAGCTGCGCATGTGGGGTGGCAGTGTGGCACCCCGCACGCCTCTTTAATTATTGCGTCACCTTCAATTCGGAAAGTTTTAATGTGTGTACATTCGTTCTGCGGGACGTGAAGTACTAACGACGCTTCGAGCACTCTCTGCAGCTCTCGTCTCCTCGTTGAAACGAGCTCTTCTCGCTCTTGTTGTTTGAACATCGAAACAAACGAACAGTACCTCGATTAAATTTGTGCGACAGCGTGCCCCAACTATACACATTATTTCGCCAAAGTTAAACTCTTTGTTTCAGATTAATTTTATTTTTAAACTATTCCTTTACGGAAGTCGCTCCGAGGATGGTGATCGCGATTGGGGCGTTTCGACACCATTGAAACCGCAAAGTTTACTGGCTGCCAAGTTTCTCCGCACTATGTAAATTCAGTAGACGTAATTAGAGGAAGCTACGATCGTCTACGCCACTGAATGGCTCGAGCCGCTCTTGTTAACTGACTCCATACTAGACCAAATCGCTTTCTGCTCTATTCGTATATTTGCGGTCGGCGACTGGTTTTACCTACGCGGAGTACGGGGACATGCACTTACCTAAACTCGGCTGAAAGTTTTATGTGTCGGTTTACTGCCACGTCGAGTCATCGTAGACAACTATAAAAGGCGACGATTGCGAGACAAAGCGTGATCGGATTGAGTAAATAAATAGTCTACGTCGGAGTGCTCATCAATCTTGCAGAACAAAAGTAAATTGTGCAAGTTTGCAACAGTCACTGCGGGTTCGTCGCCCTAGACCTGCAACCTCACTAAACTGTCGTGTGCGCGACACTTAACAATTTAATTGTCACTCATTAGTCCTAAGGCGTCGAGTCTAGCGCCGTTTTAATTAACACAGTAATTCATAGACGTTTCATTAGCCACTCGGCGTGTCGTGTCTCCCAGGCAACGAGTGGTCCTGCGATTCAGTGTTATCAATCATAAAGTACCTATGTGTCGTGTGAGCAGCTGCTCGGTTGAATCAATCACGCGAGTCCCGAGCAGGCGGCACTCGCGCGACCAGTTATTTATCACGTTCAGGCGACAACACCAGGATCGCAATTTACAAATGGAGAGGAGCATTAACATACGGTTGCGAATGTTATGATCATCGGTTAAATAACAAAATGTTCGACACGACCGGAATAGACGGCGTTGGTTGGAGTTGGGTAGCAAGATATCGCGGCGGTGTTTGCCATGCCGGATGGCCCGCCCCCGCCCGCTCGTCTCTTGGCAAACTGCACTGCACTATACTGCAAATCATACTGAGTTTGTTTGCGTAGGTCAACGCTCTCGCCGGGTACGTTTTATGTGTTCCTGGTGTCACGACGTCACTCTAATAATAGATAGGAATGCTTAGCATCAATAAATGCACACTGGAATGTAAGAAGAGTTCCTTACTTATGCGTCTCACATTCTGTTTCATGTTTAGTCAGCATGCAGACAATTAGCTGGCCGATGATATTAATTTCAGATGTTGAACGGCTTTGGCTGACTAATGCCAGGGATTTGAGCATGTATCCAAACGTGGAACAATGCTTTGTTAATCAATATGTCGGTAGAAAATGGTATTGGACGTATTACGCTTTGACAGCTCATAATATTATGTTTAATTAAGGCGGTACCGCTGTGCCTACGCTGCAACAGTAACTCGTTAAACTTTCATTATTATTCTCTCTCACAATTTGCTCGTACGTGAACGAATTGTGCTTCACAATCGATCTCCGTGGCTCGTGAGCCTTTGTTTGACTTCGACTCCGAATTCAGCGTAATTGCCTTTCAGCCTTTCATTATTCAACTTTATGCAGTCATTTACTTGTGTTATTACGAAGGGAGAGTTGCTGCGGTAAGTGTCGTGGGATGCATTAATCGTAATATGTAAATGTGGGGATATGAAATATTGAAATTGCGGGCGTGGATTTACTATATCGTCTGCGCTCTAGGCGAGAGGGGTCGCGTTTGTCTATTGTTTTTGGTATAGAATATTATGGTTATTAGCGTTGTTATCGTTATGCTTGCAAGACGTTCTTTTAATGGCAATCATTTCTTACGGTATATTCGTTTGTTACAGATCGAAGATGAGGGTAACCATGGCAACGATGACACGCGGCTGTTCATCCTGTCGACGTTGGCGGGTCAGCACAAGCCGAGGGTAACCTGCGCTCTGTGCAAAGAGACTCTGCACGTTTTCGACCGGTATCCGCTTGTGGACGGCACTTTCTTCCTAAGCCCGCGACAACATACCAGCGGCGCTGTCGAGGTATAAACTTGTTCTAGCATCGATATAAACCCTGTATCTTATAATTTACAATGTTACTGGAAATCAAGCCAATAAAGTGAAAATTCTTAAATACTTCACAATTAAACTTAATATAAACGTAGGTAGGTACTCTTCTTTCGTTTGGGTAACTATTTAACTATTTTAATTAACGTAAACATCCTAGGAACATCTTAACAAAATTAATTTCCACATTAAATACTTAAGTTAAATTAAAAGCAACACTAAGCCAGTCGTTTTAAGTGTGAATTTAAAACAGAAAACTTAAATAACACGTTGCGAGTTTGTTTTCAAGACAAACGTAGTCATACAAGATTTGTCGAGTTATTTGTTCGTCGGATTAGACACGACGAGTCGCCTTCTCGCTTTTGTTTGGTGTTAGAATTAGCATGGAGCCCCCGATAGTCTGTGTTTCTGCAACTCTCACACGAAGCTTACGAAATTATTTAATAACAGCAACTTGTTTCTATAACAACATAACATAACATCACGCCTTTTATCCCCGAAGGGGTAGGCAGAGGTGTACATTATGCCACTGTACAATGTAACACCCACTTTTCACTATTTATGTTATGAGTCCCATGTATTAGGGGGTGAGCCTATTGCCATATACCGGACACAATTCCAGACTCCGTGCTACTAGTGGGAATTTTTGAAAAACCCAGTAATACTTTGCCCGACCCGAGAATCGAACCCGAGACCCCTTGCTCGGCAGTCGCACTTGCGACCACTCGGACAATGAGGCAGTCTTTGTCTTTGTTTCTATAACTTCTTAACTAATTCTGTTAAATTATTTATTATCATCTACTCTTATAATTCTCTCATTAGCGCAGTTGTAAATAATTGATAACCACGTAGAGAAAATGAAAACAAAAGATAACGCATTTCACCTCACGTCAGGTTCACCTTTTATCGGAATTAGGTCTCAAATTGTCACGTCGTGAGATAAACAGGAAAATTCTAGAAATTAATGGTTAATGATAACTGTTTTTCCATTGCGCAGGTAAAAGTGGAAGGTCGCACGCAGTACCTGACGTGTGTGTGCATGGGCTGCCTGGAGCGATGCGACCCCGAGCGCACCATCCGCTGCCGGTTCTGTGGACAGAAGTGGGATGGCTCCTCTCTCGTACTGGGCACCATGTACTCTTATGACATCTTCATGGCCACGCCCTGCTGCGCTGAGAGACTGAAGGTAAGGTTTCAATGTTCATAATGACGTGATTTAAAATGATCGTTAGATATATTTTCCTTAATGGATCTAGAGCAATATTTAAACTGTATTTCCTTGTCTACAGTGCAACAACTGCTTCAAGGCACTGCTTCACCCCCAGCAGCGGCTAAACTACTCGGACTACTCACACCCCATGGCGTGCCCGCATTGCCGCGTGCTTGACACCCACTTCGTGAAGCCGCTGAGCTATTGTTTCACAAAGAGGGCCTTCCCGCTGTTCCAGCAGTGGCCATAACAGTCGGCGGTGCCGGGAGGCTCTCCCGGCACCCCCCCTTCTTCTGACTCGTGGGGCCTGGCTCCGTCGCCACCGCGACGCGCCTCCCCCCCAGCGCTGCGTCCCGTCGTCAACACTAGCATGGCACCCCGTGTGCTTGAACCACTTACCGATGAACCACAAACACCCAAGTACGTTTCTCCAACCCTTGCGAGCATAACTGAGTCGTTATCTCTGCTCGGAGTGAGCCCCGAGACGCTGGCTATCAGCCTGGGCGAGACGCTGGCCGAGCGCTACCTGGCGTCGCTACGCAACAAGCCGGTGGAGCGGGCGGCGGAGCGCACGGTGGAGCGGCCCATGGAGCGACTGGGCGGGTGCGGCATCCCGCGCCGCACGCCCAGCCTGGCCGAGCCCTCGCTGCAGCTGTTCTCCAACGACTTCATCGACATCTTGAACCAGATCGCATAAGCTCGTGGAGTGTACGTGACGGCTATGACGCGGCGACTATTGGACTTATCTGTGTTGCAATGTTTGTTTCTTGGACTTTACTGCGTCCGGTGACTCCGAAGACGCTAGAAATAATTTCTGTTAAATTAAGTTGGTATTATTGAAAATAATTTTATGTGTCAGTTTAGATCGTACTATTGATTTTATTTTAATTTTATTCTGCACTTTGTTGATTAGGAGTTGATTTTATCAAAAATAATAATTAGCGATAGAGTGATGCCAGAAATTGCATTTTTTGTTTCGGATCAATCTTAAATTGGAGAACTTGATTTCCTTTTGAAGGAGTAAAGGCGTGAGTTTTTTTAAATTATTGATTACCTTGTATTTCAGTGATACTGATGACCCTATCTGATAGGGGCGTTTGAGTGGAGTGTTGTTTAGTTCAATTTAGTTTATTAGTTATGTTTTATTTTAGCAAAATTTTAAACCTAACTTAAGTGTTATACAATATTTTCGTAGGTTTATTGTGAACTTTTATTTCCTCCCACCAGATGGCACTTTATAGTGTAAGGGAAGTCTACTTCTACTAAAGATGCCATGTTAGGTTATCGTCTTTAATATCAGTTCATTTACTTATTATTATATTTTCACATACATACCTTATTTAAACAGTATAATGGTAGAGGATTATAATTGTAAGTACCTAATTGCTGTGTCACCAATAATATGATTAGCCTGTCTATAACTATTATCTATACTCTAGGGATATGTAATGTCGAATTGTTGTTTTACTTATCTTTTCAAATATTTATGTCTCAATGATTAACGGACTGCATGAAGATTTATGAAAAAAAATAAGCAAATATAAACTTTTTGGAATAGTGCCATATCAGTTGAGAAAAGGTGGAATACTCCTTTTGAAATAATAAAAAAAAATATTTAAAAAATGAATGCCGCTAATCATTGAGAAAGTGCGTTTAATTTTTAAAAAAAGAAATGAAATTTTTATACTATCGACTACGTTTTGGCTATCTCTGAATAGATTTAGTTAAGGGTTTTTTCTTATAATGGATGTCTATATAATATGATATGTAAGTGAATAGCGCTTCGACATATACTAAGCGTATATAAGTGATGTGCGGATTTTTACTCAGTAATTACTGTTAACTTTTAGATAAGGTTTTATACATTTGATACTTATTACTCGCGAAGTGATTACAAGTGATAATTCTTAGTAATAGTGCGTGTTTAGTGATTATAGTGAAAAAATAACAACTTGAAAGTGGTGCGGATAGGCGATATGGGTGTATACCTACAGTAAAAAAGTGATATCGACGGATTATCCGTATGTTTAGGCAATAATTCTAATGAAGACTTGAACACTTTTATAGGTAAAAATTTTTGCATAATTATCTTTCTTAAATCGATACTGCCATTTACATTTTACTAATCTAATCGATCATTGCTTAGGTCTGAATCGATTTTGTACGTCAGAATTTGTTGGTCCGACTATGGTTACATAGCTTCATTTTATAAATCTAATTTGATCAAATATAAACTATAAGTTTAATTAAAATCTACTAGATATTATTTTAGATGGTTTGTCCTTTTCTTTCTCGATTAATTTTTCCTATATCAACGTCAAAATATTTCTTATCATTTTAAAACTCAATTGACTATTATTTTTGTTCTCTATCTTTTTATTTTCTAGATGTCGAACAATAAATTTTGCGTATTCTATCGAATCAGACGAGATGTGTGTTCGTTCTCATTTTGGACTGACTACAACTAGTTGACTATTGCGACTAGTTGCGACTGTTCGACTGGTTGCTACTGTTGCGTAGTTATAGGTCACCTCATAGCACGTCACGCCATCATCCGCATCACTGCACCTCATTACGTCATTGTCATCACGGCACGGTTTGAGTGGACGGCAGACTGGCCTCTATGCTCTCAACAATAAGACACATTTTCAAACATCAGCTTAAGTATTTATTGAAAGCTTAGTATAATACGTATGTGTTTAGAATTTATTCGTGTAATGTAGAGACTGGATATCCAAAGATTATCTAAAATATTTATCGAGTATCAACTGCTATCAACTTCGCATTTTAAAAGGATTCGCTAAAACAGTTTTGGCAGCTGCTTTTGTGTACAAAAACCGATCGTAATAATTCTGACAGTAATTTGAGCTTTCATAAAATATTTAACGATGCGATGTAATTGTAGCGTCGCGGTCGCTTGCGCACATCCCCAGACCATAGTCGCCAGTCGCCTTGTGTGGTTGTAATACCTCTTAAAATATTTTTAAATTAGTATCCTCTGCTTGACATACCCTTAAGACTAAAGATATACCTGAGACAGCATGGCGATATTTGTACATATAGCCGACACACGCAGAAGCTTGAAAAATATTTAATGAGATATTATTGCATATTTCTAGTTTAGCAGTAAATCGATAGTACATAATCTCAATAATATCAAAGAATCCTATACTTATTTTAAAGCGTCCCGGCCGCGAACCGATCACTCTTCATATGTTAATCAATTTTAATTTTATCGAAGTTTGCTCGTTCGAATATAGAATTATATTTAAAGTTGAATATACATTTGAATAAATAAATGTATGTAATCAATAATAATAATAAAATATTTGAAAAAAAAATGTAATTAAGGCGAGCTGTTGTTGGTATATTTAGAAAAATATTATGATACAGATCATCTGATGGTGACATTGTACAAAAATGAGTGAAGTGTGTTCGGCTCGCGAGCTGGCTAGTGGTCGACCATAAATTTATAAAATCATATTGTTTAATAGTCAAATACAGAGCCCTCTATGTAGATGTATTATCGTAGTTGGTACAAGTTTACGATAACGCATCGAATGTATCAAAGTCAATGACTCCCCCTCTCCTGTACAAATTCAAAGTATTTTGAAATGCTATATTGAAACAAAATCCAATAATACTTATATCATAGTCCTCTGATTCAATAATAAGGCTGTACGTTTCATATTTTATAGATATTTCAATATTGAACTTTGAAAACATTACCTCTTTAGATACAAAAGAAAAAAAATAGTAAATTATAGTAACGGAGTGGCTTCAGAAATTGAATTGTGTTTAGAGAATATTTACAGTTTGAGTCGTGGAGTGCACACGGTGACAAAGTTGTGTACTCGACGCTCTGCGAAAATATACAATCCAGAGTAAATGTTTATCGTAGCCACTAAATAAAATATTCCAGGGATCCAACTCGGTCGGACAGTTAAGAATTTTACAATATTTGTACCGTTTTATTTAAAGTATATCTTATTTTTAAAGCTCCTCTACAAATTGAGCTCTTCTAGAGTTTATTATTTTAAAGATTTTATCGATACTTCAAAGGTTGTATAGATAATATAATTTAATAGTCCGCAGACCCACGTCCGTAGGTGCGTCTGTATACAATAGTTCGGTTCTTCCTAACTTTCGTACGCAAATATTACATTATCTGAATATGTGTTTGATTATTCATATTTTAGACACTTAGTTACTTGTTCAGTTTAATAATAAATGTAATTAACATAAACGTTGCCAACTTTCCTAGTTTATTTGCACATATTTGTTAAATTTTGTAATTATTGACAATTTATTTAGACACCGGCATTCGAATTTCTTCATGTTGAATTTTAATGTGGTGTAATTTAGTGAATTGCTTAAAGTACAAAGAAACGATTTGTTACTTTTGCAAATTTTATAAAATAAATCAAATACATATTAAACGTAACTCAACTTAGGTAAACTTAATGAAATAGTTGCTGTAATCCTATATAACCTAAATTGTTTTTGTTTAACAGAATTATGTACCTAATATTTAAACAGTTTTATTGGTTTTTATGAGAAGGTATTTTATTTTACGTTCGTTAAAGTTTAGGAGCAAAATTGTTATTTATTATAAATATCTATATGTACCTATCTTACATGATTTCGATCTTGATTACTTTATGACGCGTATTTTATCGAAGGCTATATTAGAAATCGTACATTGTACCTCTAGTACTCCGTAAGTAGGACTACGACATCGGCATAATATTCATTTGGTCTATAAGTATTGTGTCCCGCTTGAGTATAGGTTAATCAAATCTTATTTCCATTGTAGTTCTTATTTAGAGTCTTAGGGATTTCTTTAATACTTAATAATTGGTATGAATGGGAAGTATGTATGGTCACACTTAACATTACGTTTAGTCATCGTCTCGTTCTCTTCATTAACGATTAATTAGTTATCGGTAACGATGTGCTCGTGCGCAGCGAGTAGCGTTATTGCGAATGGTGTACATTCTGGTCATAGGAGGTGCGGTCGCGCCACGCCTAAGTATGTGAAATTAACTTAAAATCTTACCGTGATATGTAACGTAGATTTGCGCATTCGATGTAATGCCTGCCTTTGTCTCTGCCGGCTTTCAACATTTAATGTTTACGGTAGACCGACGTCGCGTGTCCGTTGCATAATGTTCTGTTGTACTCGCCAAATAAGATTCAAATTACATTGCAAATTAGTTGATGGCATGTTTATGCCTTTATAATACTTGTAATAAACGTTGTCCCTTCACCGAAGCATTTCTCGTCCCATAAACATTTTTTATGTCCTGTACAACGATAAGTCTGATAATGTTGATAGCAATAATTTGCAACAGTACTTTATGAATAGATCCGTGTAGTATCACATTGATATTTTTATAGTATGTCGCTTTACGGAGGTAGAGCCAAGTCTGAGGCAGGTTAGTTATCAATGTGACATTCAGCATCCAAATGATACCCGGCGTCCATAAGCTCAAAATTCCAAAAACGCATTGGCTGATTCTAGTATACGGCTGTTATTGGTTAGTGAAAAGATGCAAATCAAAAACATGTTAATTATATTTTGATACTCGATGTTTTCTACACTAATGTAGTAAGTTCGTATTAATCTTTTGTATTAACTTGTATAGGTAGGATAACGACGCGTCGCGCTCGTACGCATTTCATAGTTCGGACGGAGCCGTACCGTATCGCCACAGTTCATCGTACGGTTTATTTGTAGACTGATCGCTCCATCTGATCAGGCTAATTGCTCTCGAAGTAACAAACGCGATACGATTGTGAAAGGTGATATTACATTACAGTCATTAGCTGCACTCGCGGACAGTGTAAGTCAATACAAGTTAGTGGTACAAGTCCCGTGGACTCCGACGTAAAAGCCGATACATTTTGTACGCACATTTATAAAATTGGTGATAATCTGACGAATTGGTTAAAGATAATAACTAAGTTATCGCGTAGCGGGGTGCATCAGGGTATGAGTGTCATAATTTGTAATAACTTAAAAATAAAACCTTTTGTACTTTCGTAACGGTAACAAGTAATTTAGTCGTAAACTTTTTCTATTAATATGTATTATGCATAAATTAAACATCAAGTAATAATATACTTTTTTTACTGGAATTGTAGATGTAGTATTTTTGTAAGACAATCGAGACTCGATCTCGTACGTGTATCACAGCGATAATAGATATTGTGTAAGACCGATTGTGCGTCTAAAGTTAGGAAATAATGTGGATGGAACATCTCTAGCATACCACATAAGGATTCTGTGATTACCATGTCCAAGGTTGTTTCATGACTTTTGACGCACGTCAATTATGGTCATTTGTGTAATTAGGCTAGTATGTCTTGTAACTATTTGTGCATTTTCTATTTAATTGGATGCTTTGTAAAAGTCAAACTAATTGGAGATACGTTTTCGTTTATCGGAATGCAAAAAAGACGGCATGAAATCGATGCATTTTAATGTAACCGCAGACTGTACGCTTCGTTGCTGTTGGTTACGGCGAAATGTGTATCAGAGAAATTACCGAGGCAAATGATTGATCGCTTGTCTAACATTAAATTTACAGCTACTATGCGCCAAACTAATTGGCAAATATAATAAAAATGTCTTTTAAAAGCATCTCAACATTAATAAAGCATTTTTTCATTACTACTTATATGTATCGATAATGTATGTTCGAATGAGTGAATAACTTCGATATATTTTATAATACTTCCTTTGTCCTCTGTAGGTACAATGGATATCTTCGTAATTTTACTAATATTGAGTGTGGTCATGTGCTATGTGTAAGTGTTCTTTTCTATAATGATCTCTTGTTTACTTACAATTAACTGAAATAAGGTT